ATGACAGATGCCAGTGCATCTGTCCCGTCCAACTGAACCGAGATGCTTGGTTCTTTGGGCAACAGAGCGTCAATGCGACACAAAAAGAGCAGCCAAAAGCACTGCGTAGGCCGGGAATCGAACCCGGTTCCTCGGTAGGAATTACGTAATCCGGGTTCGATTCCCGGCTCAAGCCGGGCCATATGATGGGAAACCGAGATAATAACCATTATACTACCTACGCGCGTTGAAACCTCAGTGAACTCGGACATCGAACAGCTGCAATTTACCTTGAGGCTGAAATCACAACGTCTCCGAGCCTGATACATAGTACAGAGAGCTAAGTAGACCGCTAATGGGTGCATCCCCGTAAGCGATCCGGGACAATCCAGGTAAATCTCCAAATTGTCATTTCCTGCTCCCGGTCTCCTATATACTTAGGTGCCTATCCAACTTAATTGATGGATGGGGTTACGGAGAGCCTACAATCTCACCAAGACCCGAGGCGCATACATCCTATCGGGCGACAGAAAACGCGGTTACAAGACCTATAATTTGTCTCAGAATATTCCAAATAGCTTACGGGAATGTACCTATATGCCAACCATAATCTCGGCAAGGAGCTTACAGATTTAGCAAGACACAGATTACGCAGAGAAAGCTGCACGTAACCCAACCAAACTGCTTTTAGGTGCACAACTATAGGGCAGTGAGCGTGCTTCAACTGCGTAAGAGAAGTCCTAATTAGCAGGTAGATGTAGAAGTACTGTTTAGAGCCGTTGTTCCGGTTGCCTTGCAACACATATCTTTGCCGCATATGACATGTCTATCACCCTGGAGCACCCGTAATTTAACTATTGAGGCATCTTCATCACGAGATGACCAAGACCCAAAAGAATGGCATATATCTATAGGCATACAGGCTGTGAACGAATAGCATATGGGCGTATTTCAACCCGGTTTTGACGTCCCGCACCTCACGTTCCGTCTAGTTGAAGTGCCAGGTGGCTCCGTACAGGCGGCCAGTCGCAAGAGGTGCGAACTAAGAGTCAATTGTTAGCCAGCGTTTAGTTGCGAGCGACGAGTTATACATACCTGCTGGAAGGCGGAGGGAGACAGGTCGACGTCCCAGAGCGCGCAGCCCTCGCACCTATCCACGATCCCAACGCGGATCGTCTTGCCGCCGTCTGTTCACCTCGTTAGCCCGGGCCGTCGCACATCCGCAGAGAGAAGGACTTACAGGTGATGTCGGCGGTGTGGGGAGTGGTGCAGCTGATAGTATGCAAGGCATATATTAGTCGTTCCGCCCTTCGGGAAAGCCGAGCTAGTAGTAGACTGCTTACACAGGGTTGTTGTTCGGGTTGCCGCCAGAGTAGCCTGGGTAGTTGTCATACAGCTCGTGCGAGATCGCCGCGACCCACTCGTCGTTGCGCTAAGGTGGCGGTGAGACGTTAGGGATAGACAATTGGACGCTGGAGCAACTACTCACGTTGTTCCAGCCGCACGCTCCGAGTCCGATCTGGTCTACAAATCGCAAATGTCAGCAACCAAAGAGGCGACCGCCAGAAAGACTACGCATACAGTAGGTCAACTGTTGACACGGAGACAGCAGTTAGTATCGCGGTTGTAGTCGGATTTGCGAGAGCTACATACCTGGCCGGTGTGAGTTCCAGCGGGATTGATCGAGCGAGCAGCCACCTCGGTCACGTTGGTGGGCAGGGCAGACACGCCCATCAGCATTGAGCTCGCACCGACGAGTGCGACGACGACAGCGGAGACCTTGTTGAACATTGTACTAGAGGGTGAGTAAGTGAGGCTAGAGGTAGGCAGAGAGCGCTGAAATGAATCGATGTTTGCTGTGTTGTTCGCACAGCTCTATGCCTATTTTATAGGTCGAGATAGCGCATATATCCTATACACGACGAACATGGGGCAGAGCGCTCACCTTTGCGTCCTCGGGCTGAAATTTTGCAGCCGAAACGCCCCGACGAAACCGGGCGGGTTGCCGACGGTTTCCACGTGCAACATTTTGCGTTGACACCCCCGCCAAGGCCAGCCTGCACAAACGATCGGAATCGCTCATTAATATAAATGATCCGACATAGAGCGATGGCCGAAGGGCGTGAACATATGATGTGATGATACGGTGTCCCCGAACCGATCGGGCGCGTGATTAACCTGGTAGGCGTGCTTGATAAGTTAGTTCCCTACAATTATCTGCTTGCAGTGTTTAGCCCTAGGTAGCTTGTTACGAGGAAACCCGCGCGAAACTTAGATTGGACAATAGACTCTTCCGGCAGACGAGGGGCTGCGAGCCGAGTTCATCAAGACAGTCCCGTCGCCAAGCGTTTTTGCTATTAATATACTGATTATAGGTAATGTAACCTTTCGTCTATATCTACGGGATCCAAAAGTCAAAGCCAAAGCCAGAAACCGCAGCGTAGGGAAATAATCGTATCGCTTTCGAAACCTATTCGCGCAACTCAACTGAAAACGTTGCCCGTTAGGTATCTTCTCGGACCCAACCGCATGTATTGTATCACCGCGATAGCTCTATTATCTTGCTCATTTGCTCACTTTTGGACCTTGCGCTACATCCATAACCAGTTCTAACAGAACCAGTCTCCCATATTCGATGTGGGAGTTCAGAGGATTAAACTCTACCATAGCCCAATGCTTCAAATACCTCACTTAAAAAGGCTGGTATACTATGGTTTGTCTCATTGCCCGTTGCAACAGGACCGTCTAAGCATTATCGTCCCAAGAACATATCTCAAACCTGATGGGGATAAAATGATGGACCAGAGTGAGTTATACTTTCCCGGCCGGGTGTCCTTCTAAGCAAGATATGGGAAAGAGGCCTTGAAATCAAGATCACTGATACTGATACAATATTCATATAGAATTTTGCGACAATCCGTTAGTGGTGGCGAAGAGCCCAACTGCCAGATATCCTAGTTTACCCTCCAAATCCCGTTCCTCGAAAGTTCCTGCAGTCGGGTCATTATAGTGGTATTTATCTCCGCTCGCCGGAGCGCCTAAACTTAAGCGAAATGTTCGGCAATGCGTGTTGAACCAAACCTCACTCGAACCCAGCCAAAAATATAACATGAGCCACGTGCTTCATCGCTTTACGGCTAAACCGCTAAATTGTTCATGTTGCTCGGACACGGCACCTATGTTGGACTGACGTGCCTGACGAGCAGTTAACTTCTCTCCGCCGCCTAGTTGTAGCGGGCTCGCAAACGCAAAACGTTGCATATGGAGGCCGTCGGCAGCCCTTCGGGCTTGTCGGAATATGTCGGCTACCAGATTTCAACCTAAGGCGCAACTGGTACTGTGCTGCACTATGTGCTCGTCATTGATGGATGTATGCCCCAGCTTGGGTATAAAACGTGCACTGAACTCCCCATCCAACAGACATCAGCTCATTCCAGCGCTCTCCGCCCACCTCCAACCTCACTTACTCACCCTCCAGTACAATGTTCAACAAGATCTCCGCTGTCGTCGTCGCCCTCGTCGGTGCTAGCTCGATGCTGACGGGCGTATCTGCCCTGCCCACCAACGTGACCGAGGTGGCTGCTCGCTCGATCAACCCCGCTGGAACTCACACCGGCCAGGTATGTAGCTCTCGCATGTTCGACTCTGGCCGTGATACTGACCACTGCCTTTGCGCGGATAGTTGACCTACTGTATGCGTAGTCTTTCTGGCGGTCGCCTATTTAGTTGCTGACACTCGCGATTTGCAGACCAGATCGGACTCGGAGCGTGCGGCTGGAACAACGTGAGTAGTTGCTCCAGCGTCCAATTGTCTATCCCTAACGTCTCACCGCCACCTTAGCGCAACGACGAGTGGGTCGCGGCGATCTCGCACGAGCTGTATGACAACTACCCAGGCTACGCTGGCGGCAACCCGAACAACAACCCTGTGTAAGCAATCTACTACTAGCTCGACATTCCCAAAGAACGGAACAACTAATATATGCCTTGCATACTATCAGCTGCACCACTCCCCACACCGCCGATATCACCTGTAGGTCTTTCTCCCTCCATATATGCGGCTGTAGCTGACGGATCGAACAGACGGCGGCAAGACGATCCGTGTCGGGATCGTGGACCGGTGCGAGGGCTGCGCGCTCTGGGACGTCGACCTGTCTCCCTCCGCCTTCCAGCAGGTATGTATAGCTTGTCGTTCGCTGCCAAAGGCTGACTAACAGTCGACATGCAGTTTGCTCCTCTGGCGACTGGCCGCCTGTACGGAGCCACCTGGCACTTCAACTAGGCGGAATACGGGTAGAGCGTCAAAACTGGGCGAAAACACACCCCTTAGTAGTATGCTATTCGTTCGCAGCCTGTATGCCTATAGATATATGCAGTCCATTTGGGTTTTGGTTATTTGGTCTGTGTGAAATATTTTCAGGGTCGCATTGTACACGACAAGGTTGTCCTACAACGTAAGTATGAGCTAATCTATTAGAACTTAAATCATACTTCCATTGAATGTTGAACGCAGTGGTTGCGCCAGCCAGACAAAACTGGATGCCTTCAACCGAAGAGTTCCCGATTTTGCTCACTTTCGCCACAGCATCAAAAAGTCAAAAACAAAAATTAACGAATTAAATCACACCAAAAAAGATACGCCAACCAAATACACATAAGGGGCACCTCAACCACAAACATTCGGGTACTTCCTCTCAGTCGGATTAGTCGGAACCCACCCACCAGCCAGCCCAGCCTGATAACTCCACTCATCAGCCTGCTCGGCTTTCCAAGTCCAGTAAAACCAGCCTTGACCACCACGTTCGAAAGACGAAGTCTGGGCTTCGTAAAACTGACGCATAAAGTTCTTGTAGTCGGTGGAAAACTTGGTACGGCTGCCGGTAAACGGGCTGCAGTCGCCGCGCTTGGTCGAGCCGGGGTATGTCCCGTCGTAGCGTGCGCCGACGCCGCGGCCGTTGAGGTATTTGGCGCAGTCGTAGGGGGCGGTGGTCCATTCGCCGACAAAAGTCCAAATGTTATTGGAAGAGTACGAGCCGACGGTGTTAATGCCAAAGTTGCAGGCGGTCTGAAAAATGGTAAGGTTACTCGGGTTTACGATTCGGCTAAGAAGACCGGCGTACTTGGAGATGTTGCGGCCAGGTCATGGCAACTTCGGCGTCGGAGAACACTTCGTAGTGGTGCTACAGGCGTACGCGACGTTAGGTTGACTCGTGAAGATCGTCCAACATTCACGACTTACAGTAT